GCATCATCTGTGCGAGGCATATGAGCTTTCTAGAAAAGGCTATGAGGCTGAGAGGCCCTTCAAATTGATTTAGTGCTAAACAATACCCAATGGTTTCGAGGACCAAGAAAACTAAACATCGGACAAAATGTAGAGTTTTCCTGGAAGCGGGACCTACTTCAACGCATTGCAAGATATTTCTACCATTAGGAAAGGGCAGCAGAAGGATTAATCACGAGAATACGTTTCTCATACGAAGCTTATAAACGTTGGAATTTCACGTCCCCTTTCTTTTTTTTTTTTTGAGATCCGAAATATCCCCTTCTCTTAAAATATAACCTCGCGTAAGCTGCAATGCATCAAAAGATATTTCCTGCGCACACGCAAAATGATCAATCGAACGCAAAATACACATTAAACGGACGCGCCGTAAATAATCGAGAACTGTATGCATAACAACGCCAGTTTCCTTTGCATAATCGTACGCTCGTTTTACGATCACGTTTGATATCCGTGACGGATTCCACGGGATTCATCTTCCGCGAATCCGTTCGACCTTTATCGGCCGATCGATCGACTCTGCCGCCTCTTGAACACGTGCTGCAGAACCGTACGGCACCGGTGCGATGGTTAACGGTGATTCGCTTTCGAACGAGCGCGGCGTGCTCGTAAAAGTCGCGACCTTCGATAAATCAACCTTGAACGCAGGGATGCGGACAGAGCTTGCACGCTTGCCCGAGGCTCACGCTCGTCCTCGCGACACCCCTCAACGAACCACCCAGCCCTCTGCGTGCTATTGCGTAAGATTACTATGTGAGAACGTGCATAGCAACCTTGAAGAGCCTCCGCTACTAGTTGCCTCGACAACGATCCATCGACACTCTACCAGAGGAGTAACAGCGTTCTATGTTCTGTGTTTGTCGCGTCTTTCAATGTGAAATGTGAAGTTCGGGCCAGACGACGAAATTGATGGCGAACTGATATGTGGATCGAGGTGACTGGACATTTGCCAGATACTCTTCTCCGAGGATTTTGAAGCGGATGGTACACGAAGACACGTAGCATATGCGCTCTTCTTTGTATCGAGAATTTCGATCTTCGTCATCGAAGTTACGGGTTTTTGTAGAATTTAAGGATCAAGAGGACAAAATTAAAGTTATTAATACTTGCGCGATAAATCATTTTAATAATAGTGGTGGATTTGTAAGTTGAAAGTTGCAGGTTGTAGATTTTCTCTGTACGTATAATTCATTAACGGCTTGAATTGCTTGATGCGCAGGGCGGACGTATGTGAATTATTAATAGCGTGAAACATTTCAAGTTTATATTGTATTACGTTTATGTATAAATAAACGAATATTTTCTTCGATCGATAACAAATTATAGTCGTCGGTATCTATCGTCTGTTGACGATACGCAAGTCACGGAACGTGTTAATTATAAAATGAACTAGAAAAAGTGCTAATTGCAGTTATTATGTACGAACTTGTTAATTTCTAATTCAAGCGCTGCTGTTCTTCGAATTAAATAAAGTAACAACACGTTAGGTATAATTGACACTATTATTTTTTATTCGATTGGGAAGGTATAATTGACTTACTTAATAAGTCATGATCATAGTAGAGATAGCATAAGAAGATCATTGTGGTAGCAAACAATTATCGCGATGAGCTTTTGTGCGAAACTTTCTACGCTGACTAGAAATAGGAATAAGGAGATCGACCAACAAGTTAGAAGTTTCTCTGTTCTAGTAGTTAACAAGAAGACGAATGTTGTACATTCTTCTATATAGTAAATGTGAAATGTACGCGAGAGAAGATGCGAGAGATGCATTGTCGAAACTTCCATTGTCTCATGGACGAAGGAAAGTTAAATTGGATCCTGAACAAGTAAAGAAACGGTTCAGTTAGAATGGATCAGTTTGCACATTAATGATATCAATATGTTTTGTTTCAAATCCATTACCAATGTTACGTTATTACGAATGAGATGAATGAAATGATATTCCAAGAATTTATAACCAAACGATTGCTTCTTTCTTATTCTGCCGTAATGGCTTGATATCGCTTATCGTGTGATACGTATTGCAGTACTATTTAACGAGTTTCTTCTTTAAGAATTTTTATGATTTCTATGTTATTAATGGATTTGAAACTAAGTATGTAGGTAACAGGTATGTAGCTACATGTAGATATTAATCAGATCTTGGGATTGTGGAATATTCGTAATTGATACAATTTTAAAAAGGAATAGTCACGATATTAATTTTAGACGATAATGATACATTAAAACTTTATCATTTAAAAAAATAGTTAATATCCTAAAAGCATCGATTAACTATATAGATATATATATATACACTCTTCAGTTATTCACTAAGCAAAGACATTACTATATTAAACGGGCAGTGTTCCTTCCACTGCCAATATTTGATTCGTTCATCTAAATTGTTTAGAAATATAATCCTTTTGTTATATCGATCAACGTATTGAAAGTATCGCTAATAGCATAATATTAATCAATCGACCCACGATTGGAAAGAATATGAAAGGATAGGAAAAGCGCCAAAAAATTTATTTCATTGTATAAAACTGACTCAAAATATTACCAATAAGAATATTAGTTTTCATTTTTCGAAGCGGAAGATTCGAGAACTTTTGGTGCGAAATGTTTCGCCTCAACGCATAAGACGGAAGGTTTTAAACGATCAGCGATGGACATCGGTATTTTCATGAATCGCATCCGCAATTCATCGGTCGTGAAATAACGAGTTTCGCGTAATGTTTCCCTCGCAGGTCTGCAAGTTTATTATCCTGAAACATCGTTGTTGCCAAGGAAACCATAATTTGAAAGCGAGGACGATGCTACGTTTCACCAAGCCTTCGACATGCCAATGAATGGACGTTATTATTAGTTAATTTGTTGCGAGCGTACGAAGAATAATCCGTGCAAAGGTATGACGTAGCATACCTTGCTCGTGAGAAAATATTAATTACTTTATCCGCAATGAAACACGTACTTCGCGTTACTATTACATATTTAGTATCGTGTATTACAATAGTGTACGAATGTTGCCGAGATTAATTAACTTTTGGTAAATCATAATTAAAATTGCTCTGTATTGGAAAGCGTTATGAACAACGCTGCACAATTTTGTTAAATATTTTGCAAATATTTGTGTAATATACAATATAAATATATTCAATTGACAGATTATCTTGAATATATAACATCAAGGGATCAATGAAAACTAGAAGATTAACAAGTTCTTATATCGTTGGAACTGGTCAATGAGTATTAGAGAATTATAAAGTTTCTACGTTAGTGGTTACTTTATTGCACGAAGGATCGCGTAGTTAGCACATTATATGATAATATTAATTACGCTTAAAGTCGAACGGAAATACCTGGAGGTGCACATACAGGATGAGAAAGAGGATCAAGATTATGGTTGACGCATTAAATCAAATACGTTTAAGGCGATGCCCGACTAATGGCCCTGGTATTTAATAACGATGCCACCACGTATTTTGCTCACGTTGACTTCTTATAACAGTTCGCATGACATACGCATGCGAGTGCGTTTCCTTTTTATTGTGTGTAAAACATATGGGATATTGTTACACTTCCGCAATTATATAGTCCTACGTCATAACATCTTGATATTTGTCAGTGTTCGTGCAAGAATGTAAGAATCTTTGACACAACCAGTTTTTTGTCAATTTACAATACCAAAATCATATCATGTATGTATATGTATACGTTAACAATTTTTACTATTTTCTTTGTTCTGCAAACAAAAAAGCAACAAGTATACATTTTTTATCAACTTGATCATTTCGTTCTGTACTAATTGCAACTTTAACCAATTTTTCTTTCTTAATTTCTTTATCTTAAACGAGTCAGCTGTTTCAATAATAATCGATGCGATATAAAAGTACTGTATCTTGTTTCTGCTTTATAAAATGTTACGAATATTTAAGTTATGAATATAAATTGAACGTACGATGAAATAAATAAGTTTTTTCAAATGACGACCGTGAATTCCTAAAGCAATAAATTTTTCAAGCTTGGAGCAAATGGAACAACTGTCTCTTATCTCAAATAAGTAATGCGCAAACTAATTTACTGGCGACGACAGCTTTATTGTCTTGAAAAGACATATAGCGTTACATACACATCATAGCGTCTTCTCCTCGTATATTAGAGATATAAATTCGCAATATCAAGCCTACAGAACCTAAAATTCTAAGATTAATGTCATGAGAAGGTTTTGCGTCATTTCCAGACATAATGTAAATACGTGTGCATCAAAACTTCAAGGTGCAAAAGATACGTATCATGTGGTCCATTTTTAAATTCAACGTTCCAAGACTTCGGTGTCTACGTCTTTATAGTGTTAAATAAAACAGGCGAGAAAACGAGAATACTTAAGTACATTACGTCAACAGAACTGCTGTTAAAAGACATTTACAAAAAGAACAAATAAAATACAAGTGTCTCACTTTTCTTTAATTTAATGTTAATTCAATTAATCACTAATAAAATCACCCGGAATCAACGATGACGTAAATTTAATAAGTTACTGCCTTTTGATGCTTTACAGTAAGCAGAAATACATCAGCAGCGGACTTGTTAACGATCGATTAACACCAATTAAATTAACGTTAACACTCCATTTATCACAATGCTGAAGACCCGTGAATTATCGACTAATTTACTTTTTCAACCGGATGCTCGAGTTGAAGCCGCGATGAAAAAAAAGATGCATACTCGGGGAGCATTTTATTCCAAGAATGCAATTGTAACGGGCATATACGGCGGCGGCTATGAAAGCATACGACAGCAATGCAAATGCAAGTGTAGAGGGAGGAAAAACGAGAGAAAGAGAGAAACGGAATCGGGCGAGAAAGAGAGAGAGAGAGAAAGAGAAGAAAAGGTTGGGTAGTGGCCGCGGTAAATGGTGCGAGAGAGAGGAAGGGAGAGGACACGACGCGACGGTGAGGAGCATTCGAGTCAGCTTGACGGTGCCGGTCGCCTCAGTATGCCGCGCAGCGCGCAGGCTCGCGTACGCGTATTGTTTCTCTCTGTTCTCGTCTCCCTCGCTCTCCCTTTCTTTCCTTACTTTCCCTCTCTCTCCCTCTTGTTGTCTCGTATGCACGCAGCGCGGCTAGAATACGCAAGTACAAAACATCTCGCGGGTCACTGTTTTCGCGTTTACGTGTCGTCGTTCCGTTAAGGTTTTTTTTCTGCTCCGTTGGTCACGCGCGCCAGGACAACCCAACGAAATTCAGGTTCTTCGTATACATATCGTAACACGTTAGACGTGTACAACACGACGAAATTTCTTCGAGAACCAGTTATCGACGAGTGTGCGTGCATATACGAGGCCAGTATACGTCGTGACACAGTGACACGGTGCGTAAGGTTCGTAGTGAAGGAGAGTGTGGCTCGCGGCGAAAAGCATCGCGAAAGAGCGGGAAACTCCGATATACTCGACGGATTTTCAAATCGTTTGACACATCGGAGATAGAGACGAAGCATGGTTGGACACTGGAGAAGACTCGACGCGAATAAGATGGTCTGGCAAGACGTAGCGAATGCTGGAACGGTTACGAAACGCGGTAGAAGGAGACGTGGCACGAAATGAAACGAGTTTATCCTCGTACGATCGATAACTATAGCACCACGGTGAATATCAAGCGGTTCGTATATCCAGCGTGCACGAACCTAACCTAGCGAACTACCTGTTCTTTCGAGCCTTATACCTTCGTAAACACGGTCGAAGAAATTGTCTAATAATTTCTGGCTCGTCAGAAAGGTGTTGACGTGAAGTTAACGCTTCACACACCAAGACACAGCGTAGAAGTATCCGGAATGTCAGAATGAAAAGCTTCGAGTTATTCAGGAAGTAATTTTCCTCGCGCGCCATCTTGATCCGTCGATAAATAGCGATGACAGGTGGTGGACGCGATTGTTGATCGACGACCGCGCGCGATTCGATCGCTCATGATCGAACGCTCGATACATCTCTTGGTGCGTGCGCGCGTGCAACGGTCGCGAGTAATCCCCGGAAGATTTCTTCCACGAGGGACGCCTACTTACGAGAAGACAGAAAATTACGAGAGGCGAGTGAAACAGCGAAGAGAAGAGAGAATCCGAGGCGCTTTTATTTTTAGCCAACGCCGGTTCGCGCATCGCAAAAACCGGTTTCCAAGTCTCTGCTCGAGCTCGAGCCACGAGGTAGTAAGGTGCGTATATACGCGAGAAGGGTTTTAGCTGAAAAGGGAGAAAGCGAGAGGGAGAGACACGCGATATAAAGGCGGAGTATGCTTCTTTCTCTGTCGGCGGGTAAAGAAAGAAAGAGTGACACGGAACGTGGAATTCTCCTAAGCCGATACATACCTCTCCCTACTCCTCTTCTTTATTCTCCCACCTCGAACTATCGATTGCGTGTATGCACGCCTGCACGCGCCTATCCATACTCGACGTGTTACGTGACATCGTATCGGGAGTGTATGATATTCGATTATCGAGTAAGTCGACGACGAGATGTTCATCACCGATGTAATTAGCCATCATATACCTCGGTATATGTACACGTCACGGGACATCGATAAATCGTTACAGTTTCTCGAATCGATTTTACTAAACGAGCGTAACAAGTCGGTGTGCATAAAGAAGAGAATGTGAATCGAACGAACGGAAGAGTTAAAAAATAACGAAAGTAAGAAGAAAAGTAAAAGAAGGAAGTGTTTGTATTGGATTGTTGCGTGGCATACGAGATCGGCGAAGACACGAAAACGGCATGAAGAATGGCAACCGATTCGAACAGCCGTCAAGGTGTAAGGGCGGTCGCCACAACGACAACCGATCCGCAACGAAGCGAAAAGCGCGCCGTCGCG